AATGGCTATCGAATACAGAAAGGAATATATACAACACTATGTCAATCTTATTACTCAACTTGGCCTCCATTTGAACAACTAAGAATAGTTTTACACTGTAGTAGACATAAACTTCAGGTATATAAGTGTTAAATAGCATGCATTAAAAGTACAAAATGCAGCACAGTAAATGTTGAGTAGGCCCATACTATAACCTTCTGATCCTTCTGCTGTATAACAAACAATTATATGTTCAAGTTCAATAACTAAATCAAAGTGGTGATTATTTCCAATTTTTTCACTTAGTTTCAGTTTACTCTCTCACACTGTGCCTATAAAAACTGGGAGGTATCATGAATTGTGATGTATAATAAACTGTATAAATTTGTACTAATGGCATTCTTTTGTGGTATGTACATAGTTATTAGCTCTAGCCTCTGTGTCCAGACCAGCTCTGGGGCCCACCCAGCCTCCTCTACAATGGGTACCGGGGTCCTTTCCCAGGGGTGATGCTGACCACTCACCCCATCTACTTTACATAGTTATTAATGTGAATAATATAGTGCATCTCTTAGTGCTGCAATTCATGCATGGACAGCATATTGTAAACATTAAATTCATAATTTTCCCAGGTCTTTGTTAAACCTTTCATTCTGCCCACCAGATGGCTGTGAGATATGAGGGGCACTGCTTGTATCTGTACCATATTTGAAACAAACAATTAACTAGGTCACAGATATTATCTGATTTTGTGCAAGCTGACAGGTACGATTTTTGTCAAAATTAAACTGTCTTGCCCAGATATCTAATAAGAGATTACTTTCCATCATGGACCAGATGGGACGATTTCAGAGTGACAAAAGAACATTCTGTAGATGGCATGTCTTCTAGAATGGTGTGCTGTGTAGTCTGCTAGTGATCATCCTGATTGTGGAGGCAGTAAGCACCTCTGAAATGTCAATAAACTTTTACTACACTACACAGTGCTACAACCCGGAACACTTATCTTCATATATCCTGCTGTGAGAACCCTGGCCACATGCATCTTTAACATCCAGTTTAATATTAGCATCACACAGACAATTAGGTGTTTCAACTGATTTCTTTTCTTGACACCAAATAATCTATTCACTTTTGATCTCTCCCATCTTATCCTCTGTGACTTCACCATCCTGATAGTTGTGTGAAATCAAGTTTCCATCTTCAGGAATATCTTTTTACCATAGAAATTTCAAATTAGTCAATGATATTCATATATATATCTGCAGATTCAAATTTACCTGATGAAGAACGATGCACTGAATTCAGGTAATATTTTAAACATGATAGGCCACAGTTTTAGATACTAAGAATACATAAACAATTACAAAATGAACTGAAACTGTAAAACTAAAGACCATCAGATTCTACTGCTCTCTCTTCACTCTATCCAATATTCTTCCATCCCAGTAGTCTAGTGTGAATTAAATACATGCAAAAATACAATGTGTTAATGAAATGGTAAACAGATGACTGCCCAACAGCCAAGACTCATTATTCACCATTTAACCTTGAGATTGACAACTTCATCACAAATGGTTTGTTACAACAGATAAGCTGATCTGCCACTGTCAAGCCTTCTGAACTCCCCTAGTTGTATCATGAATCACCACGACTTGACACATCGCCATCCTTTTGAAATGCTCACAGTGGACTTTAAGACTGATTTAGTCAGAAAGTGAAAGTAACAATACAAGAAAGTGAACAGATCACTAAAATTAAACATTTTTACATTTGGAGATAACCCAAGAGAGAATATTAATGTACTGGATGAATAACTATTGAAAGGAGAGAACTAGGAATTATATTTTTATGAGAATCTTATTAGGTGTATGAACATGTTAAGATACTCAGAAATTACAACAGACTGTACTGAGAGGAGACAAAGAAATGAGACAATAGATACTTGGAGCCCTTTAATCAAGTAAATATCCCCTTAATGGAAATTCACACATATTACCAATGATTTCATGCACCACTAACCTACAAAATATATTAATTTAACACAAACTGTAAGGTACATTCCAATCTGGATGAGTCACATTTTCCAAATTATTGCTTTGCAATTATCATGCAATGAAAAACATTTCAAACTGACATTGTACATTTTATGAGGGCTATATTTTATGTCACATCAAACTTTTTAAAAGTGCCCACTTTTGAAATAAATGATAAAAAGTTTGATTTGAGCTCCATTTAGAATGTGGTATATTAGGTGGGGCAGCTGTCGGAAGGGACTGCTAATATATTTGAAAACAACCTAACCTACTGCACTGAAATGCCAAAACTTGGCAATGCTGGTTTACATGAATTATTACATCCACTATTTGAATCTACATAATACATTTCTTTTGGGAAGACAGCTGTTGGTACAGGCTGCAATAAATAATGCTCTAGGCTTTACAGTAGTACAATTTTGTTCCAAATGCTCCCAATAATCATTTTTATCCCACTGTAATCATAACATTTGATCTACGCTAAAGAAGCATTTAATATTCAATCTTTCAAAGAAACAACTGCAGACAAACCATGTTTTGACCTAAAATGTCTTGTGAAGTGAGGCTGCATTCAGACTAAATGCATATAGAATCAGTTACTCCAGCCCCTATTTATTAGGCTTGTACCAGTTTTCCGTTTCAGCCATTTCCTACATCCTAACACATCAAAAATAAGCCAAGTCTGAGCTGAAAGCAGGATTAGGTCTGAATGTATCACTCACTACATGCCTGGCCTCAATTTCTAGCAATGGGAATCAAACCACAAATCCTAAAAGAAGAAATTGCAAAATAGCTCTACCTGCAATACAACAAACACCTGGGACAGAATGCATGTGTGAGTGACCTTTCCTTGTGACTGTTCCATTTTCATAGTGAAGTGGATCAGGTGTTATGAGAACTGATTTTGCAAGAGGGTGACACTGAGGACAACCTTTATTGAATGTATACTGGTCTTTTACATTACGGATGGTATAAATAAATGGTTTAAAAGCACTTGCTAATCAACTGTAATATACAATAATAGTGAAAACAAGAATATTTTCAAGACAAAAAATATGATAGGTATTTTCACTTTTAATATAAAAAAAGAATGGAAAGAAAATTCATTTTATCACCATTATCATTTTGGCTTACCAACCCTGGTCCCCTAACTCTTATTCGAACACCCAAAATAATTTTTTATTTTATTTCCTCAATGGAAGTTACAGCTATGATTCAGAATATACGATAACAAATACTATTGCCAACATCGTCATAACTTATGTTCCTCTATTTGTTCCTACAGCAGTTACAGGGATAGCTCTGTGAACTAAATGACAAAACACAACCACATTTGTAATTCTTTTTACAGAATACTGACTTATTACTAGTACGCCTGTCCAAATAGAAGCATCCCAAAAAAATTAACAATTCTTAAGGAACCTTTGATTGTTTGATGTGAAGATATTTTATTATCACCCCATTCTTCAGTACAGACCAAAATGCTCCAGCAAACGAACATACCATGTGACAAATGTCATTATGTACCCAATTACTTCCCTTCCCTGGGTGGAGAAAGTATGGGGGGGGGAGGGTGGTTTTGTCTTATATTTTGCATAGGCACAACATGTCCCTCTGATTTCCAATCACAGGTATCAACCATGGTTAAGATAAACATCCAGGGAATTGTTGCCACTGAAAGGCCTGTAACTACAAGAAATGGAATATATGACAAGCAGCTTTCTGCAACATCACTAGAAGAAACGATTCCACAGTAAGAGGAATGAGCCATATTTGGAAAGATTTTGAGAATGTCTGAGGTTTTGTCCCTGGTCACACTTCTACAGAGAAAACTATGGGTATTAACTAGCAAATCCATTACCAGTTGTACTAACTGTTTAAAAAAATAGTAGCAGTAGTAGACCCTACACGGTTTTGGCATGGTAACTTCATAAATGCACTTCATCTCAAGACATTATATGATTTGATAGAATGACAGATGCCAACTGCCTGGAGATGAGAGCTTATATACGAGATGAGGTTCTTATGGTGGTGAAGATATTAATGTTGGTCTTCTCAGTTGCAATGCCATATGGACTTCAAGCAACATTCTGATGAAAGGCATTGCCCACAGCCCTGAAGATGGAGGCAGTATGTGCCTACAAGTACACATGGCATTACAACCCAGAAAATCAAGATAAAAGCACAATTCTATGTTTCAGGCTGTAAAATTTAAAAGAATTTGTGCATGTAATACTCTTTCAGGTCTTATACTAATACAAAAAGAGCAAGTAACATTAGCTACAAAAGCCACTTGTCAAGTCATTAAGCTGCACCAGAAAGTAGTCATTCCATGAACAGTACCACCATCTATAACCAACTTCCAGTGTTCTTCATTATAAAACAATGTTCACATTATTCTATATAAATTCACAGTAGCAGCCAAATTCATAAGAAAGATGATTAGGGTACCAAAAATGTAGCAAACATATACAAGTTCAACCTGTAACTGCTCACTCTAAAGGTTTTATAAAAAATTTCTCCTTGCACACTTTTGAGGGATAATATGAAATGCCAATTCGCTTTCCACATATACAAATTAATTTCTTTAGTCAACATGTAACATGACAATTTCAGTTTAATACAATACTTAAATTCCCTCATAACAAATCTATGTAAAAATAGCACAAAAAGAAAGAATGCTGTCACTCAAAATTAATGCATCCAGTTTAAGTGATCAGTTAAAATCTCTCTCTCACACAGGTATCTTGTCTTGTGCTGTTACATACATCCAGTTGCAGGTATTTCTTGTGAATCTGGGCTACTTGGATTTTAATAAGTAATGACAGACAAATATAGCAAAAGAAAGTTTCAGTAGTGAAGGGCGGAAAAGTGGTATTGTCATCCTGTGAGCAAACACGGACATACAAATATTCAGAAACACTGATTTGTCATCTCATGCCTCGTCACGATATGTCCAATGATACTACAATCACAAAATCACAAGTATTTATCAATTGCACAACGTGTATAAAATTGAAATGTAAAAGTGCTTCATCTGTATGTTAAAATTAAGTACAATTTGTAACAACTACACTGTGTTTGTGGCAACCAAATTTATACAGTTCAAGCAACAATTCCATGGCATAACACTCTCCAATTGAAATGATAACATTTCACGTAATTCACAACAAGCAAAAACCACTAGTACTCAACTTTAAAGCAAAGTCAGTTTTTCAATCACTTTGCATCATGTGCCATCTTCTGATAAATCAAGATAAAAGCACAATTCTATGTTTCAGGCTGTAAAATTTAAAAGAATTTGTGCATGTAATACTCTTTCAGGTCTTATACTAATACAAAAAGAGCAAGTAACATTAGCTACAAAAGCCACTTGTCAAGTCATTAAGCTGCACCAGAAAGTAGTCATTCCATGAACAGTACCACCATCTATAACCAACTTCCAGTGTTCTTCATTATAAAACAATGTTCACATTATTCTATATAAATTCACAGTAGCAGCCAAATTCATAAGAAAGATGATTAGGGTACCAAAAATGTAGCAAACATATACAAGTTCAACCTGTAACTGCTCACTCTAAAGGTTTTATAAAAAATTTCTCCTTGCACACTTTTGAGGGATAATATGAAATGCCAATTCGCTTTCCACATATACAAATTAATTTCTTTAGTCAACATGTAACATGACAATTTCAGTTTAATACAATACTTAAATTCCCTCATAACAAATCTATGTAAAAATAGCACAAAAAGAAAGAATGCTGTCACTCAAAATTAATGCATCCAGTTTAAGTGATCAGTTAAAATCTCTCTCTCACACAGGTATCTTGTCTTGTGCTGTTACATACATCCAGTTGCAGGTATTTCTTGTGAATCTGGGCTACTTGGATTTTAATAAGTAATGACAGACAAATATAGCAAAAGAAAGTTTCAGTAGTGAAGGGCGGAAAAGTGGTATTGTCATCCTGTGAGCAAACACGGACATACAAATATTCAGAAACACTGATTTGTCATCTCATGCCTCGTCACGATATGTCCAATGATACTACAATCACAAAATCACAAGTATTTATCAATTGCACAACGTGTATAAAATTGAAATGTAAAAGTGCTTCATCTGTATGTTAAAATTAAGTACAATTTGTAACAACTACACTGTGTTTGTGGCAACCAAATTTATACAGTTCAAGCAACAATTCCATGGCATAACACTCTCCAATTGAAATGATAACATTTCACGTAATTCACAACAAGCAAAAACCACTAGTACTCAACTTTAAAGCAAAGTCAGTTTTTCAATCACTTTGCATCATGTGCCATCTTCTGATATGAGAAACCGAAAAAATAAGCACCACTTAGGCCTTGTCAAGTCATGTGTATCTTGCATATGGTACTTCATAGCCATGATAATAATTAGTAATAGTACACTTTACACTGGTCATGTTAACTTTGTCCTACAACAATCATAAGATTACATACTTATTACAATTATTCAATATATAAATTGTGGAACACAGAGTGGATTCAGAAATGTGTGATGTTTGTTTTTATTTCCATTTATTTAAATTGTTGTACCTCTATTACCAGTCTCTATGGGATATACAAACAGTGTTTATCATATTACATAGTCTGCATGTTTTTATCTTTTTTTTTGGTATCCTCCCCCCTGATCAACAAGAAGCCCACAGTATTACATAATTGATGCAGTACAATAAGAAAAAAATTTGTCAAATTCAATGCTTTGGATATTACACACATATAAACACACACATCCAAAAAAAATTCCCCCTTAAATAGATCACATGAAAGCTTTATTTCACCTGAGCAACATGCTGACTCATGAGGGAATTTAGACTGTCCAAACATCAACAAAAAAAAAAGTGAATTTATCCATAACCAACCCAAAATGTAATGACAAATCAACTGGCATCTGGCTCTTCATTACCAGCAAACATTTAATCAAAACTAACACAACAAATATCTCAGTGAGGTGGAGTCTTGCATGGTTGATTTTAGTTTAACCTTATATATTATTATTATTATTACTACTACCTCAAAAACACAACATCAGAAATACCTATATTATATTCCTTAATACACTGCACTTAAGAAGCTGACATTTAGTTTCAGTCAATATTTCTATATTGGATACAAATAGATGTTGATAATAATAACAATAAGCAACAGTAGGGGAAATACCATATCAGGGATATCAGCAGAGTTTTCCAGAACTACTATACAATGTTTGATGTCCTCTATTGCCCCTAGAATCGTGAATGCCCCGGCTGTCAATTATTATCACCCAGACAACTTGTATGTTTTGAACACAGTCTGAACCATGAGCAAATACTTAGAATATCTCAACATAATGTGGGAGGAGATTAAAATTCATGCTACATACCAGAGAAGTTGTCATGCAACCCAAATATTATTGCATTATCATCTCAGTGCACAGATTTAGTCTACAAAAAACGCTATGGGGGATATGAAACATCACAACCAGATTCTGGATTGGAAAACCATCACCATATCAGAACCTCTGTACTGCCATATATACACTGACACGGAAATAAGCTGTCAAGAGTTCAGTCTGCTATGTTAAATTTTCATTATGACAAAATTAAAATCCAATACTGTTTACATTTCTACAGAAAATACTAAAGGGATGTCTGATAATTGAAACTGGAATTGAATATATAAAAATGGTATTTACTATATATCCAAATATAAATACAATAATGGAATAGTACAGTAATACGATTGTCAGAGATGTTAATTTGCGCAGCTTAAAAAAAATAATATATATACTAAATTGGTAAAATCTCTCCCAGCAATGATCATGGGTAGCGTGAAACACACAATATATCTTTTTAAAAATTAAAACATTTTAAATACAACACGTTATGTGACTTAACTACAAAATAAAGAGTTTGGCACTTGGAAATACATGCTAACTGCATTTCAGAAAAAGTGGTCATAAGAACTGTGACCAAGTGATGATTATATGATATGGAAATTTTGATTTTTGAGATTCCTAGAATTTGTTTTCAACTAAATGCCCAACATACAGATTTTAGTCTTTCTTAAGAAAAAGCAACACATCACAAGAAAATGAAGAAAAATCGATCATGAAAAGCAATATCAGCATTAATATCTAAACAATAAAGGATAACATTAAAACCCACTGGGAGGGGGGATGAGAACTATTTGAAATAAGGAACTTGCCCATGACAAAAGAATATAATAATATTGATAAAGCACAGCACCAATAGCTTACAACCTGTTCTAACCTATGAAGCGTTTTAATAGGTAATATTGTTTTGTGTAATATTACTAAGAAGTGCTGTGCACACTCCAGTTTGATTGCAGCCTCTTTCAGAAAGTGCAAAGGGAAAGTGAGATTGTCCTAAATTCTGATCCCTACAAATATAAACAAACAGTGCAGCACAAAACAAAGGAAGCCCTGCCCAGCAATGCTCATTTTGCATGGCAAGCCTACCCCCTTTGCCAATATCAATGTACGGGCCCCACTTGTCCAGACAACAGAGCACTAAACTCTCACCAGCCAGATGTCATTATGTTTTTAGGAAACTTAAAAAAGACCTAGCTATTAATGAAAGAAAAAGAATTTGTTAAAATATTCAAATGAGACATCCAGCATAAATTTGCAAATAGATCTTGGAAGACAATATGCAATTCATTTGCTGTGCTAAAGCAGAGAATGGTACTAAAGTTCATAAAACTAATATGTAAATGAGCTTCTCAAAGCAAACCGGTATACAAGTTACGAATCAACATAAACAATTTAATTTTGCTTTTACAAAATTCTGACTATTCAAATGACTGGAACAGTACACTGAATAACACATAATATATTTCACCATACCTCAGCAAAAATACAACTTTAAAAATCCAAATTGGGCCTCCATGAATCTTACGGCTGGGGTGTAGCCATAAAATAAATGTATCTCCTCTAATAACAGTTTTTACTGAAGAATGAAAATAAAAATATATTTTCTACAAAAGCCCAATGCAAACAAATAATTCACTTTGGTAATAACGAATTGTGACCAACAATCTCATACAACATGGAAATATTAAATTCCATTCAAACAGATATTATATAATTCTCAGAGTAACATAACACAATACTACAGAAGGAACACACAACACTGTACTCAGTGTGTATTGCAACTTGATGCTGCCAAATTTCTAATAAAAAGAATCCTTTGTACTTGGCAGGCAGGGAAGCTGTGATGAGGTCTTTGAAAGCAACAGAAGCTGGGATGCACTGTTCAGACATTAAATGGTACTGTTTACAATACAGCAGGATATTTATTTTAAAAAAGTTATTATAATTATTTCTCAGGTACTATACCCATCACTCATGATTTTTGTTCCTATTCCATATCAAACCTTCATGTCGGCAGACTACTGGTGCAATGAAATATCACATGGGAAGGTCTCAAACATCAATAAGCACCATATAGTAAGGGGATTTCTGTACAAAACTCTACACAAATATTTTTGTATTATGCGGTTTGTTACAAAATACAGTCACTACTAATAATGAGGGGCTGTCATGCAAACCCATGACATACATTTGATAAATGCTTATTTAGAGGTGTAACATGGCTAGATAATGTCACAATGCATTTCACTTAACTCTGATAAATCTTACAAATGTGGAGAGAAAAACCTCACAACCAGTACGTCTCATATCCTGAATGTTTTGTAAGCCTGCAGTTCACAGCAGAGTTCTAGGGAAGGTGTTACAGATTTAAATGAAATGCACTACAGCTCAAAATCACAAAATACAAAGTTACAAGGCATTACTGGATATTATTTTTATATACAGTGCTTAACATTACTTTGAATGACTTGTTCTGTCAAATCTCTGGCACACAATGTAAGTTGTATATGTTAAGATGAATTTTACCTTGTACTGTTTGAAATATGACCTTTCATATCCACTGGTGTTATAGATTAGCATCCTACAGTTGTTATTTTGCTTTGTGACCTTTGAACACATTTTTATGAAGAATGGTACATAACTCTTTTGGAGCAGCAAATACTGAGCCCCAATATTCCATCACATACACATTTTAAGCGTAAAAAAGCACATACTTGCACTTCTTTGAAAAAAACTGCATTTGATCCGGCTGCCTCCCATCAGAATATAATATCGTTACCAGACTCGGCTAGAGAGCCACTAGAATACTTCTCATCTTGGAGGATTGGTGTGATATGTTAAATTACAAGTCTTTTCCCTGATGACAAGTTTCTCCTTTCTCCACCTAAAAAATTCTACTCTTACAGAAGTCAAAGGGAAGTTTTAATCTTTTTGGCCATTTCCTAGCAAAACCATCAACAGTGTTTGCCATCGTCATCGAGTCAGAATTCGGTAACACAGTTTTCAGTACTAATTAGTGACTGGTGAAGTACTGACAAACTTACAGTGGTAGATGCAACACTCAGTGTTTATTAAAAAAATCATTTAAACCAGGCAAATAAATTAACAATAGAAGTGACATGTAATACACAGCTACAGTAAATCGAAATTAAATGAACTGCTCTTCTATTCAAAAACTGAGGCACATCACTGACAACTTGTCACCCAACTGGCCTTGACTAGCACAATCAAAAGGCTGTCACAGTTTTCCCTGAGGTCTCAAATGATCCATAACTTTAAGATAACCAACCAAGCAGATCTGCAATACTGGAAGCTGGATGGATATCATTGGGAGGAAACATATTGTGTCATGAATTTGTAAGGCCACACCGTAGCGCTGTAAATGAGACCTCGCCCAATGGAATGTCAGGTTTGTACAGGACTCGGAATAACACAAATGAGACGCGTACACTACTACTATTCCACTAACACCTCCCCACCACTTTCAACCCCGAAACCATTTTCATACCACCCGTAAGGCACAGTTCTCTTTAAACCATGGCAAAGAATACTTTTTCTACCCATCTGTTATTGGTTTCTCATTCCATATTATCTTCAGCGTCTTCACAAACAAGAAAAGGAACAATAAATATCACTGGACACCATTTTAAACAGAAAGTAATGAGAATTCATGCCACAATGCAGGGTGTCTTGTCAGATGTGAAGCCTTTCCAGAAAAAGAAAACAATGCTCAAGCCAAGGTTCCATTCCAAGCAAGTGCCAACTAACGTCCTATCATATGCACAATTATCAAGCTCGGACTTCTTATATATATACATATATATGCTATACTGTAATAACTGGTGATTTCTAAATATGAGTTAGTTAATGAGCAATAAATTCACAGCTATATTACTGTCCACAATTTCTACACAGATCCACACCAAAAATATACTTAACTTAAAGAATTAACAATACGTAATTTTCCTTCATGGAATCAAGTGACTGGTAAGGGCACAAAATTGACAGTGAGGTAAACTATGAATGGAAGAGAGAGAAAATACAATAAATACAATAATTATAGAACATCCTCCACTCTCATAAATTCACACTGATATTTCCCCACACTAAGTCAGATAAAGCAATGGAACATATTTACAAGCACCTTCACCTGAGAATTGAACATTGGCAGTTAAAACAATTTACACGTTAGAATGAAGCTGTTGTTGAGCTCCCTACTTCGTCATTGCACTAACCCTGGTCAAATTGAAATCAAAGGAAATTCATGCATCCTCACTTACATACTCAAAGGCACTTTATTTTAGTAATGTCTGTGCACATTTTGAATGGGGGAAAAACAAAAATGAAACAGCAATTATAATAGTACAATAAATTAATATGTTCTTACTCACAACCCCTTTAGCAATATGGGACATTTCTCTTTCCAATATACTAAAACATACTGTTTTAAATTAAGACAAATTTAAAAACTGGAAGAAAGTTGAACTGTCATTCTTTCAAGTAATGAGACTTGAGAATGATTTTTAATATTCCAAGTCGTCATAAATTTTGTTTATCTTTGGTATCGACACAACACAAACTAAACTAACAGCCTCCAGTCTTGTCTTCTTATTGATGCGTTGTGTTCGTGCCACTATCAACAACATCCAAGTATGTTGTTTAGAATAACAGTACTGCCAATGATGTGCTGAAAAGTCAACATTTCAGCCAACAATCAAGGGACTAAACACAGATACACATATTGAATCGTGGAAAACAATGAGGATCTTGTCCAATGACTGTAAATGATTTCTATATACCAACACCTACACACCTTGCTAACACTTTCATATGAACGGCCATTCACTTGCACAAACGGTATCGAAATAATTCCCTGGCTGGGTTGAAATGACTGGTCGAGCATTTGTTCACTACTACTACTACAGAATGTTATGTTAAGATGGTACACATTTTTCTACAAACACAACACATCTCATACTAATACAATAATACAGCGCAACTCACCTTCACAATGCATTAAAAATATTATACTGTGAACTTAAAACAAAAGTTACTTCATATAGTTCTATCTTATAATATAAAATTTGACAGAATATGTGTACATCCTGACTTAGTTTTCACATTAAGTTTATATACCAATCAAACCATGCAAGAATCCAACACAAAAACTTTAAAACTGTCAATGTTCATTATTAGTTACCCCAAACCATGATTTTAAAAAACCATTCAAGAGCATAACTTAAATTAGGAAATAAAGTAATGAGTATGTATGTACAAACAAACACACATACATACATACATCTTGTATACAGAAATAAAGCATCAAAGCAATTTGATATTGATGTGCATTTTGGATCTCATACTGCCCTAGACAACAAATCTAACCCAGAATTTGCCAAGATGAGACACTCGTGTTTGTAACCACAGTTTTGAGCTTCCAATTTTACTAATTGTGTCATCAAGAATATGAAAGGACAGAACTTGTTACAAAAGTCAGATATATCTATTCATGTACCATGAACAGAACTATACCTGCCAACTCTGAGAAACAGACCTTCCCTCCCTGTTATCAGTCATATTTTTTTATAGCTACTTGTAATGTTGGCAGATTTGAGACAGCATTTAGTTTGGCATAGCTATGGTTCATGTCAAAGAACTACAGAACACAGTCAGCATTAGTAGTGATAATAGAAGTAGTAGTAATAGCCATAATAGTAGTTGTTTGACCAGAAACAGTGATAATAAATCAAAACAAGTATAAACTTTGCAATGTTTGGATGAGGGAACCCTTCCTACAAAATACCAATGAAACAATTACCCACTATATCACAAAAACTATCTGTACAGGTAAGATTAACCTAAGATTTAAAACCCACCAAACCCAGCAATCCTTGAGAAATCAGCATTATTTTACACTCATCAGAGTAATGCACAATTTCATATGGAAGGCTTTTTTTAAACACACCCACACATATATGCAAAAAGCCAACACATAAACTCTAATATAACATTTGTTTAAGTTATACATACTCATGTTTAATTATAAGTTATTAATATACATTTTTTTAGATCACTGGAAGAAATATCATAAACCACATTAAGGCTGGCCAATGCATGGAAATCCCTTGGCATACAACAACCTTTAGTGTTTTGGGATTTCATTTTTAATCTAAAATTGTGGAGCAAAAATGATTTGGTCAATATAGCTTCATCACTCTCACAGTGTTTCTGTTAGTAATGAATTCCTACCACCTACGTAAATAGAGAGTCCCAACACATTTTGGCAGACTTACGACTAAAGATTTATTTTGTTCTATACACACTTTCTCACTTTTTAGTATGTCACAAGAATATTATTAATTAACTTTTTTTAAAAAAGTTATTTCAATTTTGTAATTTTATTTAATTATTATCAATTATATTTAGACAATTGATATGGCTCATATTCAACTACAATACTCCTTTTTTTTTTGTTTTAAATATGTTTTTAAAGCATTCTCTCTTCTTGATTATTAAAAAAACATTTGTCCTTTAATACACTTACATACACAAGTGGCACTTCCATTTTCATCATAAAATACTGGAAAAGTAGGGAAAATACTAACAGCTTAGAACTTCACACAGTTGATGTTTCATCAAAAAGTTATTGATTTCAGTTTCCATTTTATTAATTTCATGGGGGTCATCTATTCCTACTTCATGACTTCACAGAGATTATAATAAAGCTGAGCCACTATTCCACTGCATATCTTTATAGTAATAATTTTTATATCATTCAATTTTCAAAATAATGAACACTATTTAATTTTGTCCACACATAAAAAGACATAGACTTAAGACAGACTTTGATGAACAATTCATATTAACTGCATCACAAGACCGCAAATATATATATGTATATATAATATGTTTGGTCACAGAGGTATTTTTCAAGAGACAAACTCCATTCGAAAAATGATATCTCAGTTAGTTCGTTCGTCCGTTCATTCATTCTACCTTCTCTTACACACAATTAAAAAGCAAAAAAAGGCAAGGATGGACTGGATTTTTTAATATATCGATCGGGAAAAACCATCTGCTCTCTAAGCCAACTCGGTAAAATGTCACCAAAAACCCGAGCAAAATGCGAGAGTGAGGCTTTTCTGTCGAGAGACCAAGGAAAAAAAAAGTTATGACTTGAACACTTGTACTTCTTTTACGGGAAAAAAAAACCTTATAGTAAGATATATATATATATATATAGTAATATGTACGTGTTAATATATAGCTCTATATATTTCTTTATCTTCGAAAAACAGCCAGGAAAGTTATGTACGTATCACTGATCCACTCTTCTTGCGTTACCTTCCAACGTTCCTTAATTTCATTACCATCCAACAACACACACAACACATGTCCACTCATTAAACGCAGTTCACAAAAATTGACGCTTTTGCACAGGTTCACTTATAGATAATTATATATCACATTTATTTAAGGATGCAGCACTCATTGATGTGTGTGTTGTGTATATGTAATCATGTGACAGCTATATCTTTCTTAGGAGAATGCACTTTGTTGTATTTTTTATGCTTTTTATTTTTTCACTTATATTCTAAATACCTTATTTAAAACCTTACAAACTATTGACTTAACTTACACTTAAAACTAGATAAAACCTATTTTGTGTTCATTATATAATTTGGTACAAGATTGGCTGAGAAGGAAAGAAAATAACACTTAAGCACAAAATGTACATCCCATTTACCATGATTCTAATACACAATTTCATTATTAGACGTATATACTACAATTGGCATTTGAAAAAATCTATAATCAAAATGTTTGGAACCATTTTTGTTGCCAACCCTGCTTTATGTTAAGACTTGTCCCCTCCCTCCCCTCAACAGCAGGTTTGATGGTTAATTCAGTTATTCTGCACCATTTTCACTTTCATGAGGAGAGAGCCATTTTATACAGGAGAGAAAAAATGTGTGCAGATATAATCTTTTAAAATAAAAACAAAGCCACTCGAAAGTCACAGCACAGTTGAAATACAAAATGTTTTTATTCCTCTTCTAATGAGTACTACTTGAGACTCCATTTTGGCCGGCAGGGATGCAAGCTCTTGAGTTTCACTTAACTCCATCATGACATCTCTCCCCCCTCTCTCTTCTCATCCTGTTGTTTATTATTGTTGATTCTCGTGATGCAATGTGATACAATGGAAGTGAGTCATAATGAAAATATCCTTTGATTTCTAAATTATTAAATACAAATTGAACACCTTACTTTTTGGACATCAGATATTTTACATATCTACTTTATAATATATTGTGTTATTATTCAATACTCGGCGTGCAGTCTGATTTAGCTTTAAGAAATACTAAAAAATGCCATGCTCTTCCCAAGTTACTTAATTATTAAATGACATAATTAAAACAGGAAAAAGCAGCCATTTTTACATAGGAAGCTGAGATCACAGGTGCGGAAAAACACCCTCTCGCATGTTTAACGAGAGACTGTCACAAGTTTTCCAAAATCTTGTTTTGGACATTCTTTCTGGCATTGCGCGTGGTTTGTAAGTAGTCTGACAGGTTTTGTGATTTGCGATTTCAAAATTGTTTTGCTTGGAGTATGTTTATGGATCCAGTTAATTGGTTACTCCAGCAAATTGCTCCTATTCCATTCTTTTGAATGTAAACATCATATTTTAAAAATGAAGATTACCCGTTTTGCAAAGCAAAGCACATCACCTTCTCCGCATTATTCAGACTTACTTACTTACCTCCTACTATGATTATAATTATGTTCCGAGACGAAGAAGGAACAACAGAAACTGTCTACCTTTGCAACCTCCATATTGCACTTGCTGCATGTGCTTACGTTACTTAACTGCATCTAATGCCTTTTAACATACCTTTAGGTACTAGTTACTGTAATGATGTTGTGTAGTTTTCGAGCTCCACAGCGTTAAGTCCCCAGTAACAATCACATACAATGAGTTCTGACTTGCTAAATGGCAACATCTTTAGGTACTATGTATTATACTGGTGTTTGCAAGTCTCTTACCATAACTACATTTACATAGACTCACCCCCAAGGAGATCCCCTGGTAGGAAGGAGTTGAGAGAGGAAGGGGTGGCTCGGTGCTGGTCACCAGTTGTGTCCAGAGGGGCCGCACCCCATAGTGAGCTGGCTGATGGGTTAGGGTTCCACAACTGACTACCACCGGGAGCCCATGTGTCAGATGGTGGAGCTCCTTTGGAAGCACCAGTAGGAGCTACAGAAGGGTTGGAACCTCCGCGCATCCAACCTCCGGTCGAGCCGCTAGGAGGCTGCTGCTGAGCTCCATGACCCAAGTGTTGAAGGATTAAATGTACGTCAGAGTCTCCGGGAGACTCGGCAAAGATGGTTGTATTTCCCAAAACACAGTTATTCAGTGCACCTTGAGCCTGGAAAAAAATTCAAACAGTGCATGGAAAAAACTGGAATATTCTGTAGCACTAATGATTACAAGTGTACAGAACAGTTTTCTCCATATTCTGTATCTTCTACATAGCAACTATGAACACACTCTTCTGTAACAACACACACGCACAGATAATGTACTGCAAGACTTATCCAAAAATCTTTATAACTGGTACTGGCGTGTAATAGGTATTTCACGCAGAGGCTGTGATCACTGGCACTGACAATTAAAATATATAAAAATAAGTTGTCAGAGGACTGAGGGGAGAATATCTTCACATTTCACTGTTCATCTGCTAGTTATGTCACATATCAGTGTTTCAAATAACCCCAGTAAGTAGTACGTTACTGGCAAACTAACATCATCACTGCAATTACTAGCCAGTGAACAGCTATGTGGAAGTTAAAACTTCCTGTGACTGAAATAATACCAGCAAACAACTTGTTATAACAGCTGTTTCCAGAAGTATTTGCTGTAATGTGCATTAGAAGGTGGACCATCTGGCAGAGAAGGCAGGTGGCCTGTGTTTGCAAGGCATGGTGGTGGAACAGTATTAGTAATTGCCTTGTTGTGGCATGGTCATTTTTGATTCAGCCACCACTCTTGAGCACTGAATTTAAACCCAGGCAGTCAGAGGATACTTGCTTTCCTTATCTGTGACATGATGCAAGAATGCAATTTGGAAGTATGCATGCCCAGTCGTAATACATTGCTCTCTGTATGCCATACAGAAAGCAGCAAAACCTATAGCAATATCACCTTTATCGCTCTGTTTGATGTAAAGTTACGTGCATCAAGTCAAACAGAAGTATGGCCAACTGGCAGGGTGGAAGATGATGAAAATTGGTTTCTGTGTCACAGTAGGGACAATCTATACAATCTGTCCACTTCTATATCAATTTAATTAGTCTCTTCCAACAAATATTCTAATATCAACATTCTTCCATTTACTGTAACAGTACATCCTATACCTACTGGCATTATAGCAAAGGACTAGGTAGCTGCCTCTACCCATGGTTCCTGGACACTTTCAGAACAACTTTTCCTCATTTGTTTTATTCTATCCTTACTTGCTTTTCCTGCCTCAAGTAATTCATGTCTATTCTTAAACACTGCAGGGCAGAGAATACCCACTGGACATAGTACTCCTTACATTATCACCAGCGCTGCACCATGTGCGTTATAAAAAGACGTGCTCTAATAATTACATTCCCAGTAATATCAACACTTTTATAGCTACTGAAAAACCTTATTTCATGGAGCCACAAGCATGTCCTGAATTCCAATATTGACAACTATCTGTCATCTGGGCTGGACATATACTGCTGCAAGTGTGTTGCAATCACAATAACTCAAGACAAGAAATGCAGGCTTTCCACTGCTGAAAATAATTTAAAAGTTAAATGCTAACACATGCAAAGACACAAATATCTGATAATGGTCTCAAAGGAAAGGCTGATAAAGCCACATTTATGAGATAACAGTCTTGAAAGCCTTCATGCTATTCCATATACCTTATTGGCTTCCTCACGGGTGGAATACTTGGCAAGTGCAATGCTGTGATTCAGGTACAAATGGAAGCTCTGTAGGGGTCCATGCTGCATGCACAAAGTCTTCAGAGTCGAACCATCAATCTGAAAAAGAATATACACATTCACAAATCAGCTTTGAGCAACATGCATATCACTCTGTACGACTCCTGAACCTTCTGACAACAATTCATCAACCTTACAAAATAGTGTTCAACAGGAGGATGATAACAAATCTCAATACTTGAAGGTATCATAGCATTAATCAGTCTTAAGAAACTCTACACAGCAGCACATTTAGAGCATCTGAAGCATGCTGGAAACTGTTACCCACGGTTACCACTAGGAAATCCCTACACTTGGACTCCCAATCACACTCACATGTAATGTTCACCTCTGCTGGCATCCAGACACGCGGGTTAATTTAGAATGTGAGTGAACAACACACGACATGGCAGGACTGAATGGTTATGGAGGAAGTAACAACGCTTTTCTGGTGTCAAAACATTGTGGGAAGTGAAATGGCTTATACGGGAATTACAATTAGTGTGAACAAGAAAAGATGTTATTTTCCGACTTAATAGAAGAGGAATGGAAGTATTTGAGTAACAAGTCTTCAATGTAGATGGACATCTAGAATTAAAATAGTACACATATATCAACAAATCTAAACAGTACATGAATCATTATCTTGATTACATGACATGCTACGATGACCAATGGATGTAATATAATATTCTGCACACAATAATTAATCATGTGTGATGATTCTTCATACCTGTGGAGTGAGATTTTTGAGCAGGAGCCAGGTGGATCCCCAAGTGGCTGCAGCAGAACCCTGGATGCCCCAGGAGGCTGACCGACCACCTCCACTGGTTGTAGTGGCAGATGTGCCACCACCACCACCTCCGCCACCAAGACTGCCCCAACCATTGCTGCTGCTACCTCCATTCCCACCGCTGGTTCCAGAATTTCCAGGCGCGTTCTTGTTCGACAGTCCAGGAGGTGGTCCTCGGGACTTGCCCATCGGAGCACCCCAAAGTTCACTTGTTACCACAGTTGGTGGGGGTGCCTCACCCCATGTGCCCTTTGTACTGCCCAACTTCCCAAGTGGACTAGGAAGTTGGGTAATAATATTAAACAAATATTGGTTACTTGCATATGGACATCACATTCTTTATATGGTAACTTTAAAATAAAAACCTTAGTAATCAATTCCCTTCAAAACATTTTATGAAATAAGCAACTCCATTTATAATTTCACAAACAAGAACTGCCATTTTGTACGGTTATTAACAAGGTGGACTAAATTTAATTATTATACCTATACTGCAGAAACATAGTGCCAGTCTACATAAAAAATTCCACATTGGACTGAAACTGGCCCATGCAGTAAGCAGCAACACAAAACATGCTTACCTTGTGAATGAAGGCGTGGTGACTGGAGGGTTGAAGGTCCAAGTAGATGAAGACAATGTTGGTAGACTAAGTGGAGGAATTGTATCAACTGCAGAACTAACAGTTGGTGATGTCTTGCTGCCACAGGCATTAAATATTTCTGTGTCTTTGAGTGTAACTAGTGATAAGGGAGAACGAACTACAGATCCTGGTGTGATGCTGGGGTCATCTTCTACACTCTTGATCTGAGTACCCTGAAACGTAAATTAGCAGGAAGTGCAAATAATGCCTACACAAAGAAATATCTCCTTCATCAGCCCACACTGTTAGTCTAATAACTTCCTATTCATGTATTAAGGTGTCATACCAGTAAATTGTTTGCACTATGAGCAAAGTCTGAAGTTTACCTGAATTTCATTTCACGTAGTTTTTATGAATATCAGTACCTTCCATGGTTTCCCTGGCTCAAATTCAGGAACAAGATCTGTAAAGGCTGCTGATCCAGACTGTGTGGTCACTGGCCACGAGTCTTTGCTCTCAGGCTGACCACCGCCTTCGCTGCTAGACTCGGGCCACCCATCTGAATTTGGGCGACTCACAGTTGACCAGGTACTGCATGACACCAGAAAGGGCAGATCATATAAATAACTGCAACTTTGAGAAATACAGATCCAAATAAAACCCAACACTATTCCAACGTGCATATTCAAACATTTGAGGCTAATCATGAATTAGACTGATAATGAACAACATGGAATTAGCATATGATTGATAAATTACCCAACACTGCCAAATATGTAATACTCACGCATCAGTCTGACCCAAACCAAGTGGGTTTATGTTGGGGGACGAATGACTCTGAGGCATCGATTGTTTTGTAGTTGTGCCAGGTGCACGACTGAACTCATTAGCACCACTTTCCCCTTCCTTGTCACCAATCAATGGAAGCTTCCACTGGGTCAAACGAGACTGCTGTCCCTGGAATGTTGGTTGCTGAAAACAAATTATACATCTGATAAAAGTCCATAATCCGTAGTCAAATTGTAATTAGACAACAATGATCTCTCTTTGGGAATAAAATATACACAACACAGATTTAATAATATGTGAAAATAAATGCAAATACCTATTTTCTGAACGTGAAAAATTTGATTATATGAAATCTGCCAAACACGCTGAAGTAGCATATGAAAAACACCACTGCTGTTTAAAAAGCTAGAGGAAATTCTAATTTTATATGCTACTCTTTTTATAATCTTTTTTCATAAAAATGTTTTTAAGGACTTTTTCAGATTTTCAAGTCATACTTGACAGGCAATTTTCTAGTTATCACATATCACTTAACTATCTTACCTGGAAACAACTGAGCAGTTCTTCTTAACTGTTCATGAAATTGTCACCTGAAAGTGACTAAGAGATCAAATTTGTTGCAATGATGAAAGTGTAACTGTGCCAATTAATTTTAATAAAAAACAGTATCACACAGTTACGGTAGGCAAGAGTTAAGACTAGACATGCTGAATTCTGCTATAAGAATCTCTCCCATCACTTTCTCTGTCTGAGTTAGAGAAAATTAGGAACAGTACCGGTGGCTCTTTCATGTTCAGCTCTCCAAAATTGGCCTGGATTTGAGTCAATGGGTCATGAACATTGGGCTTGAAGAAGTCTGGCTGTGGGCCTTGAGGTGTCATATGGTGCTGCTGCTGCTGCTTCACATAAATGGCTTGCTGTGATGCTATCTGGTTCTGTAATTATAAGCACAAGTGCCATTGTGACACCAACTATATCAGGTAATAAATAAACCCTCACTACTACTTATTTCTCCGGACTGTGGATTGTGTTGTATTTCTCTTCGTTTTCTATCACTGTTCTCATTTTGTAAAGGCTGATGGCATTATGTGGAAAATCACACAGAACACCACCCCCTTCAAGCCCATTCAGTAATTCTGAATGTATGTTTCATACGATTCTCTCAACAAACTGATATTTGTAAGACTTGAGGTTCTCACAGCGGTGAGTATGAAGATATCCGTCTTCTGGGTTATTGCGCTGTGTAGTCTGGTCGATGTTAACCAACGTTCCAGAGGTCATACTGCCTCCGTCATCAGGCATGACGGAGGCAGTATGACCTCTGAAACGTTGGTTAACATCGACCAGACTACACAGTGCAATAACCCAGAAGACGGATATCTTCAAACTGATATTTGTAATGGTGAAGTGTTGTTTTCTTTGTGGTATGGACTTACTTATTCAATAAATTATTTGATGAGCTTCAACTTCAAAGGGTTAAGTAGGTTAGACACAATATTATCATTATGGGGAAATGTTTAGGGCTATGTAATTTGAACAACTTAAGAGATAAATATGTTAAACAGGAACCCATTCAACTGGTTGCACTGTTCAATGTAACAAAACTTCACTGTATGGTGCAACATTACTAGAAAACTGACACGAATGACCACGGGCGCTTTATTTGAAAATGTACATAGTAGCATCTTTACATACCTGTAAATTAGAGATCTGCTGCTTTGTCTTTGTAATCTGCACTGAGATGTGTAGAACTGCACTAGAGCCACCTTTCAGGGGTTGCACTTGGACTACAGCCTGCTGCTGCATCAGCTGCTGCAACACCTTGATTTGCTGGAGCAGTTGGTTCAGCAAGATCAGTGTCTGAGGTGCCAGTGGTTGGTTCAAGATCTACAACAAGCAACAAATTTCCCTTTTTGTTTACAATTTAACCACGCAAGTGTATGACAGGCTGAATTCACAGGCACATTAATAAAACTTGCCTTATCCAGGTTCATTTTACAATGAAAATGTAAACACACATGTGCTCTTAACACTGCACTTTAATATTAAATCTTCAGTTGGAATAAGGAAAAGTGACAAGAGACAACCAGCAGCCCACTATTTAACTGGTGTACTATTATCCACCCTGAAAACATTTGACACTTGTCACCTCCACAGTCAGAAGCTGACAACATAGTCTGCGCTCTATGCCACCGACAGAATCTGACCTTGGCGATTTACATTCCTGTTGGGTAATATGTGACAAATAATAAAGGAAATCAACAATGACTTCACAAGAAGACGAAAGACAAACCTGGCCAATACTTTGATTCTGAATAGTATATATATATCTGCATGTTTGCCACTGCTCACATCACTACTTCTGGATTCCTTCTAGGGCTAAAGAGTCGGGACCTAAATGACAAAGCGGTCCAGCAAGATACTACTGCCCGGTGAAGTGACGCGTACAATACGAGAAACGGACGGGCACCTACCTGATGATTGAGATAACCAGCTTGTACTGCCATCTGAATCTGCTGCACCAACATTCTAAGTTGGGCAGTCGAAGGTTGATTCTGCGGTGGTCGAGGCGTCTGGTTAAACGCACTCTGCTGCTGTGTTGGAGGCTGCTGAGGCGGGGGTTGTTGTGCAATTATCTTCTGCACAATAGCAGGACTGATGTTGTTAATACTGGCCAGACTAGCACTCTGGTTGTTGAGGAGACTAGGAGCAGCACTCACTCCAGGACCCTGCACGCGGAAAACAGAACTTAAGAACCCAAGTTTCAGACACAAAATTCCAAGACATTTTATCAGCACATAAAGAGCAGTATCATTTAATGGCATCGTACAAACTTATCAAGTCATGCTGTTACTTCATTTAACAATGTAAGCCATATATCCTGCTAATACGTATACACAAAATATTGCATAATTTGTGCTGCTTCATATTAATATTCCGTGCTCCTCTGGTCCTACATAATTCATTGCCAAATGTTTACAGTAATAAAAATAAAAAATGTTCACTCCAGAATATACTAGTGAATAGAAAGAAAAAAATGAGACAAAGGCAAAATCATGGAAGTGATGTCAAAACAAAAATAGAAGAAACTGCATCCAAACATATGGGACACCAACGGTAAGAGCATGACTACGCACACAAAAAAGTGGCTGCCTTCTGGCATGCTGCACCAGTGTGGTATATGCCAATATACATATCAGAACAGTTTACTGCCTCTACCATCAGTGCAATTATCATCCTGATTATAGTGGCACTAAGCTCCACTTAAATGCCATTCAATATCTACCAGACTATTCTGCTAAAATAAAACAAAAATTAGAAAACTAAGCGAGACAAGGTGACAAATTTTAAGAAAAATTCATTTTACTTAAAAAAATACTGTAGATTAACACACTCACATTTAGGTTAGTACGCGCACACACACAAACACAAATTATGTGAACAAGATATCTGAAAAATTGTTATTCCTGAAAATTATACTGAAACAATGGGAGCGTATGGACAAGGGTATACAGAACATGCAAAAATTTTAACTGTGGCCATAAATAACCACACAGGCAAAATGCAAACAAAATCATAGGCTTGAAAAGGGTTTGCTGTTTTAGGCTGCTACTGATGTGTAACAAAAACAACATACAGGTGGGGCAAATGACATCTGCTGAGGAACTGGGTTGAATCTCTGTCCAGGAAATCCTGCACCAGGGTGGCTTGAGGGTAAATCAAACGGTGAGTGATCTTCATGCCTACGCCACGCCTCCACATTGAGTCGCCCTTGGTTCAACAGTTCTATAGCATCCTCTAAGTTCATGTTGCTAGTACGCAACGCACTCTCAACGTCCTCTTTCTAGAGATGAAACAAACAAAACAAATACCAGCTTCTCAATTTAAAGAATAAACCTATTCTCATACAAGGAACCAAGAGAAACTACCTGAACAAGAAACTAGTGCTGAAGTATTAGGATTATAGAATTGGTAAAGTAAAATACTCTCTAGAAAATAAATAACAATTATACTCCATAATTTTGGGGGAAGGCACAAAAAAATACCAGAAGACATTACTTCAATCTTACCATTGCAGAGGAAATATGTTAGAGAAGACTGACCTTAATCACACTCCTTCCAAATCAAATTTATAGGGAAATATATACAGCATGGCACTCAACAGCAACGAAAAAATAAAATGCCAAAGCAAAAAAG